CCATGGCCACGCCACACGTATCTGGGATTGCAGCATTGGTGAGGAGCAAACACCTTGACTGGACCCCAGCGGAGATCATATCAGCGATTGTGACAACCTCGAACGACTCATGGACGGCTGCCGGAGATCTCATTGCCGACGATATCTCATACAAAACAGCAGGGATATATGCGACAGGGGCTGGTCAGGTGAACCCGAACAAGGCGATGGACCCAGGCCTTGTTTTTGGGCTCACCTTAAACGACTATATTGGATATCTTTGTGGCCTTGGGTATGAAGACTGGGAGGTTATGGTGACACTGGGTAGAAAACAAAGTTGCAAAGGGGTTAAGCATCTAACAGCGTCTGAACTTAATTACCCATCAATTGCAGTCAATTTGACAAGGTCAACGCCCAGTCAAACGGTGAGCAGGACTGTGAAGAATGTGGGGGATGCGAGGGAGGGCTACTCGGCTAAGATTACCGAGCCGGTGGGGGTAACAATTTATCTCTCGACCTATAAGCTTCAATTCACGCGACTGGATCAGGAGTTGAGCTACAACATCAACTTTTCCTTGAAGGGTGCTTATCCGAGCCAAGGGAGTGACATGATAAGAAGAGGTAAGATTGTGTGGGATTCAGGGAAGCATGTGGTGACCACTCCAATTGCTGTTTGTTTCTCATAATTTACCAATTCATGCATAATGCTAAATATAATAAATGTTTGAGTGTGATAAGAAAATGCTCCACAAGTATATGTTTATCTTCTCTCTATTATTTATATGTAAAAGTATCTCATGTGATTGATGAATAAATCATGCACTCGAGTTTCGAGCAATTAACGAATAAAATCAAATAATAAATACTCAATAGACATAATTTAAATTTAGCAAATTTTTAATTATCATAATCATTAGTATTAATCTTATTTTAAATTTTATTTTTCCAGAAAAAAATGGAGAACGTCATTTTTCTATGAAAATTTTAATTCGGCCATCCAAAGATGATAGAAATTAATTTTATACTTTTCATGTGATTATGAAATTTTTATTGTTAAAGATAGATGTAAAATAATAAAAAATGAGATAGATTTCTTTTTTACAGATAGTTCTTACTGGAGTGATCGTTTTGCTCTTACTCTTTTTTACAGATAGTTCTTACTGGAGTGATTGTTTAGCAAATAATAAAAATAAATCATGTTTGCTTGCTTGAGAGAGCGAGGGTGAGGAGAGACTTACATATTTGTTTTGCTCATTTCTAAGAACTTTAAATAAAATTGGAATTATTTTAATATGAGGAGAGAACCAATTCCTTAGATGGAAGGGCTCTCATTAAGAAAATAACTCACAGTTAAATATTTTATTGGGGTTGTTACTGCCAAATAACATTTGGCTATCTAAATTACCACTCCGTCTACCTCCGTCAAAAACCTCGTCCAATCCTTCCTATTTGCGCATGAAACTCCTCTCCTTTGCGTTGTTTTAGCAGCTCCCTTTCGTGTTTGAACCCCACGACCACACCATTCTCCTTCTCCATTCCGTGCGAACATTCTGACTGAGATGAATCGGTCGACGTCTCGTGTGAACTTTACGCGTCTTCAGCCACCCATCGACACACTCTTCCTTGATCAATCAGGTGCTCACGTCAAACCCCTCTCCCTTCTCTTTTAGTATTTTCTTTATCTTTGTTGTTATGCATCTTCATCTTCTCCATTTTGTCGTTGTTGTCGTCAAACTTTTTCCAAAAAAACCCCCATTTAGAATGTTTGATATATTCTCAACTTGAAAAAGTATTTGGGACCCATACATATGAATTAACTCCATATTTGTGTCTAAAGTGAAATTGTTCATCAATTTATCTCATGGTTGCATTTGCTAATAACCGTATTGGCAAAATTGGATTTCAATAATTTGAGCTCTATTATCTTCAAATATGGAGAATATTTGAGTGTAGTAAAGGGCCAAAGCAAGAAGAAATATGTTGGTGAAAGTCAGAAAATTTTGAAGCTTACGATAAGAGATAATAAATTTATTATTATTCAAAGAACAAACCGAAGCACTTTGCTCGCGGCTTAGGGGCTATGCCTACGACCTACACTATCACATTAATATAACATGGCCTAAATTTTACATGCCCATTATCAGTGATACAAATGTAATGGACATGCTTACATATTCTTGTGATGGTCATAGAATGGATGTGGTTGTTGTAGTGAAAGATCAAGAAGAAGATTTGGATATTGCTGATGAGAGTCAGTTTGGGGTTACATATGATTAAAGTGCAAACAACAGGGCGAACAATGATGTAATAGTAGATGGTATGTGTGATGGTTTCTTTGCAGCTCAGGATTTAGAGAAACATTCTTTATGTGTTGGATCGCATTTTGAGAATTCGTTATGTTTCAAACAAGCCATTCGTTCCAATGCAATTTTACATAACTTTGCTATCAAGATTAAGGCAACTGACAAATCAAGAGTTATTGTAACTTGCACATATTGTGGTTGTCCATGGAGGATACGTGCTTCGTTATGTTTAGATGGCCACTCCTTTGAAGTGAAGAAATTACATTTGACACATTTATGCCCAAGGATAAACAAAGCTGGGAATAAGCAAGCTACTACAAGCTGGCCAGTTCGCTCATGAAATCAAGAACATTGTGAAAAGAAATAATGATATTACACCAAAGGACATCGGTAATAACTTGGAGACCAGTTTTGGTTTGTCTTTACCACACATGAAAATATGGTGTTTAAGGGCATTAGCAAAAGATCAAATATTTGGCTCAATAGATAATAACTACAACTGGGTGCCCACACTAAGGTCTAAATTAGTCAACAGAAATCCTGGCTCTCATGTAGCATACCAATGTGACAACCATAACCAATCATTTAATAGATTCTTTGCTAGTTTCAATGTTTGCATTGATGTCTTTTTTATCGGGTGTAGATACTTAATTGGCATTAATGTGTGTCATCTGTAATCAAAGTATTTAGGTGCACTGCTTTCTATGAATTATTTGGATGGGAATAATGGCCTCTTCACTATTACATTCTCCGTTGCTAAATCTGAATCAAAGAAAATTTGGGAGTGGTTTATGATGAATTTATCTGAAGCTTTTAACTGTGATATAGAACGTTTAACCTTCATATCGGATATGGAGAAAGGATTAGGTGAATCTATTAAGGTTGTGTTTCCAAATGTCGATCTTAGGGTGTGCATGAGACACCTTTGGAAGAACATTAAGAAACTTTTTTGTAGTGATGATAGAAACTAATTGCAAAAGTTGGTCTGGACTGCCGCAAATTATTATATTATACATGACTTTAATGTCTAGTAAGAAGAAATCTTTAGCACTAGTCTAGGAGTAAAAGCCACTTTTTGTAAGTATATTAAAAAAAACTACAACACAAACAATATAGTAGAATCCTTCAATTCATGATTAGAGGAATGTTGATGGAACAACATTTGCAGAGGAAGTTAAATTGTACTTCTTGAAAGAGGCCTCTTGTTTCTTGTGTGGAGGAGTACATCATAGATTTTACAATAAGGACAGACCCCTTCATTATTCGTCATTCTACTTCAACCAAAGTTGAGATAGTTGTAGCAATTTTAACTTATGAAAAGACTGATAAAGAATCGCACCACAATAAAAAATATAGTTGTAACAATTTTAACTAAATCAATCACATTAGTAAAGCCAATACTAAACTATGTATATGAAAGAAAATAAGGCAAGACATCACCAAATTTAAAAAAAAAAAACAAATCTCACATTGGTATAAGAAGAATGTTGCCCTTGAAAACAAGTAGTCATACTAGCATAGTATCCAAATAAATCAACATCCAACAAGTAAAAAAGTTTGGCGAAATTCAAAAGTTTATCAAACAAAATATATTCTACAAAAGTGCATCAATAACTCTTTTATAATTATAGGGGAACTGTAATCATCATAATCAATTCCTCTCGATGTTGGTAAAGGAAAAAATAAGCTTATGCCAAGGCTCTTAAGCAAATGATCATGCAAAAAGCCAATGATCGCAAGGATCAAGACGTTGAATGAGTATGAACATTTCGACTTACTAAGATCCGCACAGAAATGATAAGTGTAGGTGCTTTGAGCTCGCACAAAGGAAAGAAGAAGTTGGTTATGAAAGTGAAAAATGCATGACATTAATCCATTGCAGCCAATGTGTAACATTAAAACTAGCTTGGACTCAAAAAAGATGGAGCATCATAGAAATGCTTCATTCAATTTTGATTAAATCCAAACTCATAATCCTCTAAACCAAATCCAATTGAAGTACGTTAATTGCCTCACTCAAACTCTCAAGCATCCCATTAAAAAACTAAAACTAACAAGCTCCACCCAGAGCCACCATAACTAAAAGAATTGCATATTAAAAAAAAATAATAATACATTGTCAAAATTCCGCATATGCTTTCTCTAAATAAATAAAAAAGCATATGTAGATTTCCCTTATTCTCTCTATACTTCTCCATCAAACCTCTCAGCCATACATTTATTGAGAGGTTTGATCGAGTATATAAAAGAAGCTTAGAAATCATTAACCAGTGACTTTTCTTCTTTTGGATCTTGATGCTTTAGTCTCTTAATTATAATGGTTTTTAGTAATTTATTAGATCAATTAAATCTAAGCATCAATAAATGAAGATGATCAAATAGTTAATACAATGCTAATAATAATGAAGACGATCAAAAAAAAAATACTACCGTTTAGTTTTTTGTTTTAAATTAATTAGCATTATTTTTACTACACATTATTGATATAAAGCAGCTTCACCATGATTTCTTTGGGGTTAAACTTTGATTAATTTTATAAAACAAGCAAAAATTAAAATAAAATTAGTATCTACACAATTATCTCGCATGGCACCTATGGCACTCATTCTCGAATGCCTGTACCTGCCTAATTATTTCTCCATTATTACTGAAGATTGCCATTTATGGTTCCTGACCAGGAAGCTTCCTCATGTATTGCAGTATAATGCAATACTTACACGTTGCTATGTATGCTTTTGTGGTTCCATGGTAGTCTTTCATGACCTCTCAGCCAAATGGAGCAGTGTAGCAGCCCCATTGTCTTGCTTCTGCTTATTGAACTTCTTCTACAACTACTTATTCAAACTAGTAATTCTCAGCTTCTCCCCATAGTCGATGATGTACTTGGATGCCATGGCACACAAGTGTACATCATTGATGTCCAGAGACATGAGCAGCATAGTCTCCTCAACGACGGTGACCTTGAGAGCTTTCACCGTTCCTTCCTAACAAACTTCACCCTCGGTTCTGGCGAGCCATGGCTGGTACTGTACTCTTACCATCATGTTTTCAGCGTCTTTGCCGCCCGCCTCACTCCGGGAGAGTTGGAGGTCGTCAAGTCTAAACCCGACTTTCTCTATGCGCAATGCGACCGCCGCTATCATCTTGCGACAACATACACACCAAAGTATGGTCCTTTTTATTCCGTTGATTGTTGTCATGTAAATTTTGAAAGTAAAAAATTAAGAGTATTTTGAGAATAATTGAAAGTAAAATAGAGAATAATAATAATTATTATTTTCATCAAAATATTAAATTTTTGCAAAATGTCAACATCATATTCTTTTTTGAGATAAACTAATAAGATGATGTTTGCTTGTATAGGAATTAGATCTATATTTATTTTACATTCAATATATTTTTCAGAAATTAAAAGTTGGATGATATTTAACACTCTTATTTATGTGTTTTAATAGCTATCTCTTCCTAACCACATATAATGCATGGGGATCTCTAATGATGGGGGCAAGGTCTTATCATCAGTGGAATCAACACCAGCATAAAACCTAGACATCCTTCATTTGAAGTCACTAGCATGCCACCAAAGCCATCTCCAACGAAATTGAAGGGTTGTTGTTCATATATACATTTCTCAAGCAACAATAAGATCATCGGAGCAAAGGCATTTTTTGGAAGGTCACACCCTTCCCCTCAAGAAACAGATGGACATGAAACTCATATGACAAGCACTGCAGGTGGAAACTTTGTCAAGGATGCAAATATTTTGGAAATGGCATTGCATGACCCCATCATCTGGCATGGCACTTATGGCACTCATCTCTCCATTTAGAAAGTTTGCTACCGAAATTATGGGTGTGGCGAGGCAGACATGTACACTGCTATTGAGCAAGCGATAAAATATGGGGTGGACATTATCTCGATGTCTATTAGATGTGGTCATAATGATACGCTTTATGATGACTCAATTTCTAGGGGTCTATGGCTTCCATTCAACAATGAATCATTCTTGTCGTTGTAGCTAGAAATGCTGGTCATAAGACTAGGACAATCAATATTGTGAAACCCCTTAAGTAATAAAAAGGCTTACTTTAAACATCGAGGTGAATTTTGGTATAATGAATGGAATTTCCGTAAGAAACTCTACTGTTAAGCATTCTCATCCTAGAGAAATTTTGAGATGAGTAACCTACTGGGAAGTTACACCAAAATGGCAAAACCGTGAGGCCCTTATGCCAAAGCGGATAATATCTCGATAGTTAAGAGTTTGAGCTATTACAAATTATATCAGAGCAATACACCAGCCGAAAGATGGGAGCTACGTGCCATGCATGACAAAGTGCTACATCATGGGAGCCACCTCTTGAACCCTGTATGGGACAAAGTGTTACATGACGGGAGCCACCACTTGAACTTGTAGGGGCCACCTCTAGAGTCCTCTCTACCTGGTGGATGATTCTGGGATACAGATGCTGACGAGGACATCAATTACTTAAATGTGGGAGATTGTGAAACCCCTTAAGTAATAGAATGTCTTACTCTTAAACATCGAGGCGCCTTTTGTTGTAATGGCTAAAATTTTCGTAAAAAACTCCGCTGTTAAGTATGCTCATCCCAGAGCAATTCTGAAATGGGTGACCTACTAGTAAGTTACACCAAAAGGGAAAAACCACGATGTCCTTATGCTAAAGCAGATAATATATTGATAGTTAAGATTTGGTTTGTTACACATTCATAGTGCGTCATGGGTGTTAACTGTTGGAGCATTAACCACCGATAAATGAATAACATCTATTGTGGAGCTGGGAGATGTGAAAACTTTAAAAAAATTTAGAATTTTTTTGACCTGGAACATATCAACAACTATTTCATGAGTCATTATAGGTCTAAATCACAAAACGTATTTGCCATAGCATAGATATTATTGTGTTTTAGCATCACTAAAATTTTCATAATTTTTTGACACTATAGTAAAATTTCTAAAGAAATTGGCGCTGGTTGGTACAAGTGAGAATTTTGGGAATATCAAGTGTCTATTTTGTAAATCGATTTCACCAGAGTATTTTTGACATTCTTAGTTAATTTCTGAATATTTTTATATAATTTTTAGATTCATGAATTTGAAGAGACAAAAGAATTTAGATGAATTTAACGTTAAAAACTTAAATAATTAAAATAATAATATTTTATTTAAAAAATCCTGAAATATTAAAAAAATCCTTTTCCACTTTACTAAAGCCCATTCCACTTTTTCCATTTTCCCCATTTCGGCAATAGAAAGCTGGGATAAGGGAAATAAGAAAAAAATAGTGGAGAGAAAGAGGAGAGAGAAAAAGAAAATTAGGGTTTGGAGTTCATAAAGACATTCTTGCCCATCGGCCCAATTGGGCTTATTCGTCTCAAGGCAAACCACATTATCAATTCTCAAAAATATGCAATTTCTATAAAAAAATTTAATAAATTTTGTTTCCACTAACGAAATATGGGGATAACTTTGCACTTTTAAAACTTTCACAGTATAACTTTTTATATGTTATAAAAATTAAGATTATGAATTTTTTAAATATTTTTGAAATTTTTACTAAGGAGGGTTTTGAAATTTGTGGAATTTTATTGAATAGAATATTATCCAGTCTCTAAAAAATAGTATTGTAGTACGTTAAAAGTCTTAAAATATTATTTTACATAATTCCTTGTAATTTAATTATTTTGAAAATATGTATTTTTGCTTAGTAGGAATTTTTTTGCCTACCGATATAGAAAATTGTACAATTATTACACATACTCAATTAGCTTTAACTACAATTCTAACACATGCATCTAACTCTCACTCCATCTGGGAGAATCAATTATGACTTAGTGTGAATCACCAAGTTTTGTAACTTGTAGTCTATGACTAGCCTCAACCCAAAAATGAGGGCTTCATATTTAGCAGCATTGTTCATTACAAGGAATTTAAGTCGGAGCCCATACTCAAGAGTAACTTGTTGTGATGAGATTAATAAAATTCCAATCCTGATGTCAAATTTTCCAGAAGCTCCATTAATATATAGTGTCCAGCACATAAGAGAAGGAGAAGTAACTGGTGGCTCATCAAAGATAGGGATGATGCACTCAATCATAAAATCTGTAATTACTTGAGACTTAATCTAGGGTCTAGGCCACCGAGCACTTGATTAATCTACTATATACTTCTAATTTTTTAAGGATATTTTTCCACGGGAGATTTATATAGACTCCAATTGTATGAGCCTGAAAGTTTGGGCGTAATTCTCTGGCCGAATAGAATAATGTCAATGTTATTTCATCTGCTAATGGATAACATCCCTCTATTTCGGACATGATCTTACTAACCAAATAGATGGGATGTTATATAGCATTCTCTTCTCAAACCAAGACCAAGCTTATAGCATATGAAGATATAGCCAGATACGGCTATACCATTTCTCACTGTATTGGTTTTAAAAGTAACGACGGCGATGCCAAATATTTTCAGAGCTATTCAAAATCTTCTTAACATTCATCAGTCCATTAAAACCCTGAGCAATGAGCACCTCTCGATATCTTGAAGAAAGACATATATTTATCCCCTGAGCGGGCTAAACAATAAGATAGTGTTACAATCCTTCCATTCAGTCTTTGAACTTCCTTAATATTTCTCGAGTGCACCGCATCTCTTAGTGCCTTGATCTTTTCAAAATTGGCTTCCATCTCTTGGTAGGCTACCATGAATCCCAAGAATTTTTTTTACTCTTAAAATCATATGTAATTTTACTCTAAATTCTACTATGATAATTAGTATAAAGTTTATAATTTTTTAATCTGAAATTATTAGAGAATAATATTTTCACATCCCGAGATAATTTATCATTCATGATGACGAGTTTAATTACAAAACTAAAAATCTAAAATCTATATTCAAATTTTTCCAAAGAAAATATAATTGCAATTGACTTTCACACCTTCCCACAAAAGATGCAAACAGGGATTTATGTATTTTTTTAATTTTCAAATGTAATTTTAGATAGAAAAGTCATGTATATGTGTGGATATGTCTGAAGGTAGGAGACCAAGCAGGTGGAGATCAATTAAAGCCCCATACACCATTTATTTTTGTTTAGATTTAAGCTAAGTTGTAGTTATGGTAAAACTCAGCTACCCATTTTTTATTTTTCTGTGGTGTATTGTAGAGCCCAACTATATTTTGAACCTTCAATTTAATATTGGTGGTTGATGATTGGTTTTATTTATATAGTTTGTGCATTAGAATTGTATGTTTTTTATATGTTTCTTAAACAGTTTTGCTTTGGGTGGCTCAAACGGAATCTTTATATTATGCTCTTAGGGTGTTAAATTTTCTACAAAATAAAAAAAATATATATTTCTAAGATAAAAAATGAATATATGATTTAAAATCAACCAATCTTTTCTAAACAAAATGCATGACCACTCTTATGTCAATTTTTTAAGAAAAATGAAATTATTATTTCAAACCTAGTCCACCTCACAGAATCTACTAGCTAGTTCTAATAGTCCTACCCATGCATGCATAACCTAAGTCAAGTATAAAGATTTTCTTTTCAACACATAAAGGGATAGTTAATTTTGTATAACATAATATCATTTATGGTCTGGCTTGATGCCCATTTCCCTTTTGTGCCTCCCACCACTCTTGCTTTCGCATAAAACTATTTTTTATAGATTTGATAAGCTAAGTGAAGTTTAGCTGGTACCCTTTTCCGAGTAGGGTGGTAAATCTAGGATGGGCTACCTAGATCCCTAGTGGTTTTAGGTTATATGTCCCATTAGTGTATTGCATTAGTTAGGTTTATGGGCATTAGTATTAGGAATATCATACATCCCTGTAGATTTAGAATCCAAGGCTAGCGGTTTGGGTATATCGCTGCTTATTTTTTGGATAGGTTATTCATCCTTCAGAGGCTATAAATTCTACATATCCACATTACACTGATGGCCTCACTTCTATCTTTCTCTCATGTATATTTGATATGAAATGATTCCTCTCATGATTTCTCCTCTTTTGGCCATCTAAGTGACTGTATGATCCTTGCAAGTTGAATAGACAGATTGAGCTTAATTTTATTTGGATTAGGAGAGGCTAAATATTTCTCTATGCGTCAAATCTACAAGAGAATA